GTTTAAGAAATAACCAGTTTTTTCTTATCTTTGCTCAGTCTACCAGGGAATTCCTGACTGCCTGATATTATACTAACTAACCTGTCTTAATGCCAGGGGTAATGTTGGGGCTCAGCTCCTGGCAGGAGAATGCAGGATACTGTGAGGCTGAAAGGAACAACAATGGAGTCACGGATAGGGGGTTCATACCACTATATTCTCTATGGCGGCTGGTTGAGACACAAGAAGCAAACATCTGCCAATACTCCAACAAGGGGTCTTCCTGCACCACAGTCTCAATGGTGGCTGGGCGAGACACAGGAAGTAGGATCCACAAGATCTGCACCATTTGCGCATACTAACATAGCCATGGTAGCTATAGACAAAACAATAGTAGCTAATGGTCAACTGGTTACAGCTGATGGTCAAATAGTTACATGAGTGCTTGCATGTGGGAGCCAGCACCTTTCTGCTTGAGGCTGAGAGCCTGGGAGCTGCTCTCTTAGAACCCTGGGACAACACTAACTTAACTAATTACATCTGCAAAGGAATGCAATGGGAAATTCTCTTTCCAAATAAAGTCATATTCTGAGGTACTGGGGGTTAATACTTCTACAAATGAATGTAGAGGATTACATAATTCAACCCATTAACACTTGTCAACCCCAAGAAAGATATCTACCAAGAAGGTCTCCTGTTGGTTATCTGGGCTCAAATTTAAAAGCAGAGCCTAGGAGCCATTTCTGAACAGGCTCCTGTCATGCAAACTGCACCTCAAGGAGAAGCCTGCACTGAGCTGCCTGCCTGTATTGTGTTCCTGCCATCTGAGCCAGCCCTAATAAAGGAGTTGCTGGAATTGTATTTCAACTAATAGGACTGAGGCTTTCCCTGTCCAATCAGAGCTGTGCAGCTATGTCACCATTAGCATCTTCACCAACCAATCAGAGAGGGACCACTCTGACCAATCAGGACAGTGCTTTTTGGGCCAATAAAACTGAGGATTTGGAGTCCTTATTTGCATGACGGACCAGTCAAGGACCAGTGACAGGAACTCCTCTCTACATCTCAGCTCCCCTCTAGCTCTGGGAGCACACTTTCCCTTTTCTCTGAAGACTGTTTTCCTGGCTGGAGTTGAAACACCAAAGACATCTTGCCCCACTGAAGCAGATAGAGTGGACCAGAGCATGGAAGAGCCTAGCTGAACAGACTGGAGTGAAGCAGATCTGTCTTGCCCAAGGGCCACCTCATAGCTGTGCTGTTCCACAGCCATTCAGTATCATAATTGAACTGTAACACTATTGAGCTCTCTAATACCTGTGCTGTTCTCATAGCTGAGCTGTATCACAATTGAGCTATTTGCACTGAATAGTTTCCTTCGCTGTACCCAAAATTGGGGGTTCCTGTTGGCATTGAATTGGCACCAATGACCATCAGTTGACACACTCCATTACCTTTGTGGCTTTCAATAAGCTAGTGACTTCCAGGTTTCCATAATAACTAATGTACCCCAAATGGAAATAAGTATAAATCAACAGGGAAGGAAGTAATAGTAGATAGCATAATGTAGTGTATGAGACAAAGGATTCTTTGAGGGACACCTCTTTACACACAAATCTTTGATCTCTAGACAGTAAGATGTCAGCCAACTTCTCTCTCATCAGGAAATAAACTGGTGATAAAATTTGCACAACTTATTTGTGTGAACTTTTATTAGGTTATTGACTGATATGAGGCAGGAACCTCAGCTAGACTCACATTTCACATAACTGACTATTGATTTTATAGCCTTGGAACAGGAGTCAACTCCCCCCACACTTTATTTTTTCCAATTCTGCAAGTAATTTTCTCCATTGGCTTCCGATTTTTCAGCTTTAACACTGGGGTATCTAGTAGTTCTCTACTCAGATAATATGCCTGAGACTCAAAACCAAACATCCTGGTATACTAACATTATGGCCAAGTAAGAATGTCAGGTTATTTGCTGGTAAGTTATGTATGGGAATCAATTGTATTGATGCAACTCAGAAAGGATATTCAGAGATACAAGCATACTTTGGAGATATTGTGGGTTTGGTTCCAGACCACCACAATAAAGCGGATATTACAATAAAGTGAGTCACACAAATTTTTTGGTTTCCCAGTGCATATAATAGTTATGCTTACACTATACTGTAGTCTATTAAATATGCAACAACATTATGTCTAAGAAAACAATGTACATACCTTAATTAAAAATACTTTATTGGGGCTGGCCGAGTGGCTCAGTTGGTTAAGAGCTCGCTCAAGAGTTTGAGCTCTGAGCAACAGTGGTTCAATGCCCGGCCCAAGCTGAGCTGCCGCTGAGCTGCCAACAGGAGGCAGGATGGCTCAGCTAAAAAAAAAAGTAATAGAAAAATAATTTATTGTTCGACTGAGAACTTTCATGGAACTTTGAAGTGTTATATTTCTGGATGTCAGACTTACTAATTTAATTAAGCAGATATTGTTTAAAGAGGGGGGAAAAAACAAAAAATAAAAATACTTTATTGCTAAAAAAAATGCTAACCATTATCTGAGCCTTCAGTGAGTTGTAATCTTTTTACTGGTCAAGGGGCTGCCTCGATGTTGATGGCTGCTGACTGATACAGGTGGCTGTGGCAATTTCTTAAAAGAAGACAACAATGTGGTGCTCTTCCTACCACATCTGCAGTTACTTCCTCCACTGAAGTCTTGAACCCCTAAAAGCTATCCGTGAAGGTTCTTCCAAGCTCCTGTTAACATTGATAGTTTAACCTCTTCTTGTGAATCACAAATGTTTTTAATGGCATCTAGCATGGTGAATCCTTTCCAGGTTTTCAATTTACAGATCCATCAGAGGAATCACCATCTATGGCATCTATAGCCTTATGAAATGCAATTCTTAAATACAACCATAACAAATATAATAAAAAAGAAAAGAATTACCAAAATGTGACACAGAGACATGAAGTGAGAAAATGCTGTTGGAAAAATGGCACCGACAGACTTGTTTGGTGCACAGTTGTCACAAACCTTTAATGTAAAAAATGCATTATCTGTGAAATGCAGTAAAGTAAAGCACAATTAAACATGGTATGCCTGTATTCAGTGAGAGTGTTTTAAACTCTGAAGATGGGAAATTCTATGTCTACAGCAAACTACTTAAAAATGGCATCCTATTTCTCAGAAGCTAATACTCAGTATAAGACAGAAACCTCAGAGTGTAGCCATTTTTCATTTTTACAGTATTAAAGGACAAACATTGTTTATTTAGTGTGCTAGATGCTTTCATATGGATTATTTTACTTAATCCTCACAAAAATCCTATGAGATAAATGGTATTATACTCCTTTTTACAGATGAGGAAACCAAACTTAGAAACTGGCATAGAATGCTAAAACTCTTTTTCCACTGTACAAACTATTTGAGTAGTTACAAATTATGCCTTCATTTATTTCTAATTTTTGTTTTGGAAACTGTGTGCCACTGAATTTCTCACTTGCTTAGTTTAGGGAGACCTCTGTACACGAAACAGGAACTGACACATCAGATTACTTGACTGATTTAACATTTGTTTTGGCAAAAATGCACACCAGCTCAAGATTGAAATCCAGGTTTT